TATTTTCTTAAAAGAAAGCACTTGAAAAACCATTGAAAGGGTATCAAGCCTATTTGAATCCAAATGCGGCGAGAAAACTGTAGTTATCAATTGCGAAGCCAGAGGCGCGAAGATCGACTTCCAAATTTTCAATCGACCGTGAAATGAATTTATAATACCCATATAGTCTGATCTAATTTCGCGTTTCCTTGAGATGTCTGGTTCGTTTAATCAGAAGTACAAAGTTCCTTGACAGGCAATGTGTCCGGCGCTCTCCAAAGGTGTCTGGAGGAATGCTTAAAACTAATTACCTTGTCTGTTATTGGAAACCGATTTGCGGTGGTTGCTGTGGAGATTAGGCCTCCTCCTGCGCGCACTAAAATCGGGGCTCTGGCCTGTTATGAATAGCACAATTACCTGGCTCTTAGAAAACGAGTTAAACCTTTAGTAATAAAAGTCTATTAACCAAGTCTTGATCGATATTTCTGTTAAGCATATATTCAAATTGAGTAAAAAACGGTTTTCGTCAATTGCTAGAAGTTAAACTGACGCGCTCATAATGTCATCGCAGGCAGTGAGGTCTCAGTAACAATGTAAAAATGTTCAAATAATGGGCTTGAAAGTCTGGGCCATTTATGAAGTGGGAATTAAAGAAAATAAAACGTTCGTTTGAGCTTAGGAAATTAGAATGTAACCATTTTTTATCACTGCATAAAAATCATGAAAAAAAGAATTGAATTCGACGATTAGCTGAGAGCAATCAGCAGTTTTAGTAAGAGTGAGAGCAAGAACGAGAATATTTTGCTAACGGAGGTGTTAAGTTTGTGAGCCAAACATATGATATGCGGTGCCGTAAACTGCCGCTTAAGGTGATTCCCTAGTTTTGCACTGCGCATCTCTTACTGCGCATAACAAGATGGCCGCCGTAAAAAAGAGCATGTGAAGTAATATTATTAAAATGAAGTTGACTGAAGAGAAACGCTATTGGGATTTTTGCTTGCTGTTGTTTCTTGCCGAGGTGAGACTCAATGTGTTGGGAATGTGCATAACGTAAGCAGTACGCGTGTTGCTGAGTTCGACCTCCTCTAGGAAAACCTCGATAGTGGATGTTTAACTTGTGTGTACTCACTTTGATTTTCATTTAAACACTTTCTTTATCACATTGTGTCCTAAATGTGATATCTCGATGTAAATTCTGTAAAAACGGATTTTTTAATACTTTCTTCCCCCTTTCAAATACATTCTATTTTGAAACTCGCCCCAGTCCTCTCTCAAAAATCGGAGAAAATGCGTTTGGTGCGCACTTTCTGCAGCTCTACCGCAAAAACGAGCACGGTGACCCCCACTTTTTATTTCATGATTTTAATAAGGACAGTGCTTCCTTTCGATGAGAAAAAAATTGGCACAAATCTATGTTCACTTTTTTGGCAATTTTACTAACTTGTACGGATTGAGCAATCACGGGTCGAAAAGCGCGCGTCCAATTTAATTCTACTTTGGAGCGTAAAGTAAAAACAAGGGCATCAAAAGGCATTTTTCTGGTACGTAAGTGGATAAACAAGACATTAAAGTCAAATTCTGTGTGATGTCACATGCATCATCGAAAAAATCTCTCCTTTTTGTCTAGTTTTGCGCTGCCCGCGGTTTTTGTAAAAGGGTCCTAAAAAGCCGTAGTTGTCAGCATTGTGACGTCAAAACGAGCTCGGTGACCCCCACTTTTTATTACTTTTTTATCATCTTCTTGACTTGTTACATCAGTGTACCAAGTTTTAGCTAAAATCTATGTTAGGTTCTTTTACTATGGAATCACCTTAAAAGCCCTGGGATTATACATCTTTGTAAGGGTTTTTAGAAGGGATCTTGATAAATTAAACGGAGAGGCTTACATCCGAGGGGGATTATAACGGAATTGGTAAAAGCTGTTCGAAACAAGCTAACGCAGTGCTGATTTAAATATGTTTTGCAGTTACTGGTAAAAACTTCAAAATATCATAATAAATCAAATTCATTTCAATGCAAGTTAGAGGGGAGAATATATTGGCGAGCCTGTTACTGGTGGGGCTTATATTAAAGTGTTTCTGTATTTTGTAGCTTCAAATTGCTTGTGCCGTTTTTCTTCAACTTTGACTGACGTTCACATGGATACCAGCACTAAATTGGCCACATTTTCTTTAGAAGAGGAAGTCTTAACCGAGTATATCCCCAAACATGTCAAACTTTGTGGGCTATAACTTTAACGTTTTGCAATTGCTTAAATTGCTATTTCACTACGTCAAGATTATATCTTCATTTAAATTGCTTTTTAAATTTATTTTCCCCCTTCACATCATCTCCCGGCGCGTCCAATTCGGACCTAGTATGAAAGGTGAAATATTTAAATTAAAAACGCCAGGGTGACATTCATTTCGATTGAGTATAGTGAACCCAAAATATTAACATAGAACTTGCACCATCATTCACCATCATATTTAGCTATCCTCTTTTGTCTTAGAGAAAAATTAACTCGCCATGTACCTCTCCTCGACTCTCCAGTGAATTTTGCAGAACAATACAGTTCTCTAATAGCTTGGTGGTTTGTCATTACCATGACTTTTCTCCGAAGCAACTACGTTCAAGCGAACCTTTTTTTCATATATCTGTTTTCCTTATGTGATAGCTTCATCATGTTGAAAGCCAATTAGATATGTGGGTTGTATTTTCATTTTATTAAACGACAGAGCTATTGGTAATCTTGTTGCTGCCGTGCAATTGGCAAAACAAATAGCCCAATTGTCTGGTTTTTAGAAAACGAGCTAAACTGTCATGATCAGTGAAACAAAGTTTATTAACCGAGTCTTGATCGATACATCTGTAGAACAAAGATTCAAATTGATTAAAAAAGGCTTTTTATTAATGTACTACTAATCGTCTCATCGCAGCCAGGAAGTCTTAACAGTTATACACATGTTCAAAAAATGGGCTAAATAATGTCTGGGTCAGTTTGTACCATATACTTACGAGATGAGAATTAAAGAGGAAATATGCTTTACGTTCGTTTTTGCTGCTACTATCTCTCTTTTTAAATCCAGATTAAAAACATTTCTTCTTAGTTGATTAACCATTTGTAAATAATACTTGTTTTTTGCTGCTTTTTGTCTGTTTTGTCCGTTTTGTTTTGCTTGCTTTTTATCCTAATTATATTTCAGTATGACTTTGCTGTTTATTTATTCATTATGTTTAGTCTTAGTTTAGGGAGCCAGCTCATATAATAAGCCCCAAGGTTTCCATTTGAGCTTCCTCGCCAGAACATTTTTTTTAAATTCTTTCACTTGCAATTTACGTCTCTTTAATCTTTAAATAACATTTTTGTAATACATTGAATGTCTGTATGCATATGTATTTTTTTCTGGAAAAAAAATACATTGAAACTAAACTGAAACTGAAACAGTTTCAGAGCATGCTAAACCTTCTTTTTTTTAAGCGATGGCTTGTGCTCAGCTCAACATATAAAAACCAGTTCATACTCATGCGAATGAATTCTTATTTTCAAATGAAAGAAAGAGCACCAGGACTTACACCTAATTGCAATAACATTGTTACGGAAAAAAATGCTATGTTATGCAAATTTAACTTTCTTACAAGAGAGTCGGTGTCACGTTTTAGAAATGAGGAGGAGGAGGAGGGAAAATAATAAAATTGTGGAGGAGAGAAGAAAAACATTGAGGAGAGAAAATAATAAAATTGTGGAGGAGGGAATAAAACATTGAGGAGGGAATAAAAAAATGGAGGAGGGAAACGCAGGGTAAAAAAAATAGCTTGCTTTCTTTGACTATTTTAATAGATTCCTTCTAAATCAATGATTATTATTTTTTTATTTTAGGGTCATAAAGTGGATTTCTTGTGTCTTAGGAAACGTGTCTGATTTTATCGCTAGCATTTAATAGTCGCGTATTTCAATTGATCCTTCTTAAGTTTTTTATTGTTTTGTGTTTTTATAATAATTTGCCAAGACTGTCCCTTGGGACTAGCTGTAGAGGCAATTTGTATGCAAATGTCGGGTTGTTAACTCGCATAATCATGAACTGACCAACGGTCCGTGAAAATGACAAGACTTCAATAGTTTTTCATTTCCTCGAGATAGAACGGAGACAACGGTTTTGTAATAGTCAGGCAAAATTGAAGTAAAGAGTTTTCAGCTCTACTGTGTGTATGCGCGTTTGTGTTTTGTTTATATATCTGATTTATAGTGCTGAATAAGATATAGTAAGCCGTCAGTTTCTCGCGTTGCTAGGTGATCGCTTCTCTTATTCGTTTTTCAATACACGGTCCGAAAACTGGGCTCAAGTTACTAAACGGGCAAGCCTATTGTGCCTAGAGTAGTAGAGAGAGACGCATATTAGTAAACCTATACCGAATTAGTATGCAGGAAGGCACTTAATAAGTATGGAGGAAGACAGTTATTAGTATACAGGAATACCCTCATTAGTATGGAGGAAGACAGTTATGCATATTAATAAAAAAGAAGACAGGGGAAGACACCAACGGGGCTTAATTCGTAACATACTAGACCACTAAAACCATACACCCTGAACTTCCGCTGGGCCTATACAATTCGTAAGGGATTTGTTTAAGGAGGACTTATATCCCGAGGAGGGGGAGGGGAGGCTTATAACCGAACTGAAACAAGGCCTATTATGGGAAGGCTCGACACTGGACCTACAGATGTTACGTTGGTCGTGCTAACCTCTCGCTCACCGCACCTCTACACGCTTATATCATGTTAGAAAGCTAAAGAATGATGAATTTATCTTTCTCATTTTGTTTCTCCCTCTTCAGTTACAAAATCAATGCAATCACCAATAGAATCGGCAAGTATATCTGACATGTCCATCGAGATTAGTAGTTCACGCCAATCAATGTCATTATCACCATCGTGAACACCAGATTTGTCATCATCGACATCGTTGTCATTTTTAATCACTTCGACAACCTCACTATCGGCATCGTCAGCTACGCATTCACAATCGTTTCATTTATTATCTTTACTTGTAACACCTGAACTGGCATCATCGGCATCTTTGTCATTATCATCACGATCAATATCATCAGCTTCAATGTTGTCCTCATCCTCATCCTCGACACCAACACCATCGCCCACTACACAGTCAACGAGTTCATTACCACAGATGCCTCCATCATCATCATCATCATCGCTCTCCTCTGCATCATTGCCATCATCAGAGTCAGTCCTATTAACAATGACATTATCGCCACCATCGCCATCATCAACACCACAAATAGAACGATCACCAGCAGGGTTATCACAGGCAAAAACACCGCCAACGCCCTCAACGCCATCATCGTCTCCGTCGTCATCACAGTCGCCTGCCCTATCGCAATCATCGTCACAATCGGCATCGTCATCACCACCTCCATCACAGTCGTTATCGTCAGCGCCATCTCTATCACAGTCGCCTTCACAATCGGTATCGTCATCACCAGCTCCATCACAATCGCCAACACAATCGGTATCATCATCATCTTCTCCACCTCAATCACAGTCATCATCGCTATCGTCATCATCGTCATCGCCAACTCCATCAAAATGGCCGATACAATCGGTATTATCATCATCATCATCGTCATCACCAGCTTCATCACAAGCGCCTTCACAAACGGTATCATCATCATCATCGTCCCCACCACCATTACAGTCATCATCGGATACACCAGCTCCATCACAATCGGTTTCATCATCATCATCATCATCATCATCATCATCGTCATTATCAGCTTCATCACAATCGCCTTCACAAACGGTATCATCATCATCATCGTCCCCACCACCATTACAGTCATCATCGGATACACCAGCTCCATCACAATCGGTTTCATCATCATCATCATCATCACCATCGTCCCTTTCTCCGTTACAGTTATCATCACTACCAGCTCCATCAAAATCGGCAACGCAATCCGTATCATCATCACCAGTGTCATCATCATCGTTCCAACCTCTATCACAGTCATCACCAGTTCCATCGCCATCAGCATCAATATTTCTACCGCCAACGTCATCACAATCATCGTCATTTTCGCCATCACAGTTGATATCGTCATCGTCAACAGCATTGCTATCACCATCGTCATCATTACCATCACCATGGCAAACGTCATCACAATCAACGTTGTCATCGGCAGCTCCATCACAATCACCAGTGACATTCCGATTGATTCAAGGTTCCGTAACCATTGAGTAGAAGTGGACCCCTACCTATTCCGATATCAACTCAGAGAAGTACAAAACGCTTCATAGTGAACTCACTGAACATTTAACCAAAGTGCTCAAGAAAGCATACGACGAACTTTTTATGAAGGTGGAAATAAGTAACTTCCGTCAAGGAAGCCTCATTTTCGATTACAGAATTTACTTCAAAATCACATGGAGAGTAAGCAGAACCGACGGATTGAAAGATGTCATTAGGAGAGCGGAAGGTGGTGATAAGAAGTTCAACCACACTACTAGTGTAAGCATCACGAGTGTATTTCCTCCTGAGTGCCCTGAGGAACAAAAAGATAGTTCAGGATTAGCACGATGGATCATTGTTCTCATCGTGTGTGGTCCCGTAATAGTCATCCTACTGATTCTTGTGGGAATTCAAAAGGTAAGTTCCTCTTTGTTCAGAGCTCGTGCCTTCGAAGGTTATTCTTTACTCCAATCTTGTAATTCGATGGTAATGCTTAACGTGTTGGTAGCACATAAGGCTACCCGGCAAAAATCGAGGTATCGTATTGTTCTTATCGTTACATAGGGGGAAGGGTGGTGTTGGAATCTCAGGTGTAATTTATGTTTCAGATCATGTCATAACTGATAAAATGGAAAATTGTATTCACATCTCCCTTAAATATAAACTTATACTTTAACTCCAATTCGTCATGATCACCATAATCAATCATTTGCCGTGCTTAAGTATGGACAAGTGTTACAACCTGATTTTCACGGCGAGAGGACGTCGAGGGAAACTATCAGGCTGAAAAAAGAGGTCACGTGAACAGACTGTAATCTTCATATTTCGGAACTCTGAACACTTTCCCACGATGTCTGTCTTCCTCTCTGGCGCACGCTCCGTCCAGTGTTCTTACCACAAATGATCTCACCGTAACATGCAATCTTGTACTCTCTTGTTTCGGCAGGTACAAAACAAGAGACTCAAAAACAGCGCGTTTCAAGGGAGGAGCATTCATAAGTTCCCTGACGAGAAAAGACTATTTGTGCAGACGAATGTCTACAACCCTTCTAGCTCCTCATTTGAAATGTACCAGTTGTCTGGCTCCGAACAAATATACACACCCAAGACGGCCTCGGCACGCCCTCATGGTAAAGAACTCAAGGTGAGAGTTACTAGTGCAATAGTTTGTCAATGCGTTTCGTTTTCATGGTATGTTACCATTCCTCAATTAAATGCCGGGACTATTTTGGCCTTTTATCAACTGGTAAAATGGGAAATAAATCTTTACTGGAAAGTAGAAGAGAGAATTGGGGGAGGGGGGTGGGTATGAAAAAGGCAGGGATCAGGGAGTCTAAACCAACAGCCTTCCTTACCTTGCATTCCTGGCCACCCCTTCCAGCCCCATCCTTCACCCACAAAAGTAAATCTTTCGCTTTGATCTTAGAGCTCAGACGAATATAGTCAATTCTGATTTGTTGGCAAAAAGTTTACCCTCCAGGTTTCAAACACCAATGTCTTAATCTATTTTAGCACCTTTCCTTTGTTGCCACCTAAAAAGGCACTTGCAAATTGGTCATTACTAAATAAATATATAAAACTCGTATACAGGACTGCACTTGGATTACAGGGCTGAGGGGTAAAGGAGGTGGCAGTAATTACTGACCCTTTAGGTGTTACTACGATTATACTTTAAAGGTTGCAAAAAAATACAAAGAAACGTCCCTATACAAAAAAATACAAAGACACGTCCCTACTCGTCCCTCACAGCCTCTCCCTAGTGGCGCGCTGGGTGTGATGGGAAAGAGGAAAGCGAGGGAGAGAGTTCTTCCCTTTTCCATTCCCATCAATCTCTGCTCCTGGCGTGCGCGTTACGCAAAGCCCCGGAGGGGGGGTACTTTAGGAATTTCTGGGTGGGGATGTGCTGCTGGGACCCTGGAACCCTTAACCTATACCAGAGCTAGTTCAGCTGAATTTTGCTACCCTATACTAGAGTAAACTCCCAAATCCCCCCTATCCTAGAGTAGCTGTTTCCCTAGTCTAGATAAAATCTTCAACCAACTGATTAGTTTCCTGAAAAATAATACCCTATTCTATACCCAAACGCTCTGATTTATATACCCTATCCTAGAGTAAACTGCTTGAAAACCATACCCTTCACAGCGGCACATACCTATATAGCCCATATACGGCAGTTCCCCCGGGCGCAAAGCCGACCGGTGACGAGTCAGGAAATACTTCACAGGAAAATCCTACAACCATCAATGATTTCAGTCGATAAACGTACAATTTATAGATGATCATGAAGAATTAAAAGATCATAGCTGATTGTTTCTCCCCTGATGGAGAAATTGAGATCCAAGAAAACAACAGTAAGCCAAGGGATGATGGCGACGGAGAGGAAGAAGTGGATCATGATCAGGGAACTCAGTGATGGGCACGTAGCTCAGTTATACGGAGCATATAATTGTGACCCTCAAAATAATAAAAATGCAAACGCTTGAATTATCAGCTGTAGTAACAAACGCATAACTTTGCTTGTAAGATAATACACACGTACTTATCGGTATGAATAACTTATAAACACAACGAAGGCGCCAAGAAAAATCATGTTAGACCAAATAAGCTGTCAAATTAATGTAACGTATAATTGGGATTTTGCATTGAATTTGTAAAATAATATGCATGTTATTGCTTGCATGATATCCGTTGAGAACCATAATGCCGTATTACACCAAGGATAGATTATCAAAAACGTGAAACCAAGTGAACAACAACAACAACCACAACGGCACTGAAACATTTGCACAGTCGAAACGTTAACTGACGCAGTTCATTAGCAAAATGATCCGGAAACTCAATATGTAGAAACAACGCCACAGGGGAAAGAAAATCTGCGCGTGTGCGTTCAGTGCGAGTCTTATTATGCTACATACATATACACTAATCATACAGACATGCGTAAAATAGATTACATGCTAATGTACATTATAGTATTAAAGCACCTACAAAATAAAAATTAACAGAGAAATATAAACATTTCAATTCTCTTTTAATTCTACGTTGAAAATCAGTCTCTCATTGGCCCGGGCATCGTTATTTAAACTTACTCGATAAATGAGTTGCTGTTATTATTGACTTTGGGGTTACTTAGACCCCGTTTTACGGTATGTGATCATGAAGGAGAGGGTCACAGTCCCAGTCCAGTCAATCCAATAAAGGGTCACAGTCCAGTTCAATAAAGTTTTCACGCATGCTCTGCATGATTTTCTCGCCGTGACAGAGTCGACCCAGCTGGGCGAGCCAACGTGTTAATACAGCTATTTCGAGAAAGGTTAACAGAAAAATGTGCTCGCGACAATCCCGAACGGTAATTTGGGATATGATCAATACGCTGTTCTTGACCATGTAGCTGTCGAATCTTCCATCGGTGCTTCCCTTTAGCATTAGAAAACATACGTCTATAGCCTCTCGTGCCATTCTTCCAATTTTTTTTGAAGGACAGTGAACTCAAAACCACCCACAATATACCTTTCGTGATCGTCGCGTGTACTTTTTCCGACAACCTTTCTCGAAATTGCTGTAAGTAGTCTACTATGTTGAAATTTAACCGTTTTGGTGTCTAGCACGGTCTAGCTAGGTCTAGTCTATGACGTCACCTCGGAAAGAAGTGTCTTCCTGCATACTAATTTGGATTAGGTTTACTAATGAGCGTCACTCTACTACAATAGGAACAATAGGCTTGCCTAGACTTGCCCGTGAAGTAACTTGAGCTCGGTTTTCGGACAGTCTATTAAAAGGAAAATAGGAATAAGAGAAGCGATCACCTAGCAACGCGAGAAACGGCTTCCTATATCTTATTTAGCGCTAAAACTCAGATAATATAAACAAAACACATGTGCACAAAGTGGAGTTGAAAAGTCTTTATTTCCGTTTAGTTTATGTCTTCTTATTGAGCTCTAAAACTCGGATATATATAAACAAAATACACAAAGTAGAACTGAAAACTCCATTTCAATTTTGTCTGACGTTTTCTCCGTTCTATCTCGAGGAAATGAAAAACTATCAAAGTCTTGTCATTTTCACGCACGGTTAATCAGTTAATTATGCGAGTTCACAAGTTGAATACAAATTAGCTCTACAGGAAAGACCCAAGGGAGAGAATCTTGACGTATTATTATAAAACAAATAACTTAACAAGGATCAATTAAAACACGCGACTCATAATTGCTAGCAATAAAAACACAAGAGAGATACCGTTTTAAAAAACTTTATTAAAAACCAGTGACAAAAAGAGTCAAATACACAGGAATGGAAATTAATTAATCTTCATCTTCGTTCTCCTCTGTAGAAGGGGAATAGAAATTGGTTTCCAACGTCTTCGCGTTTTTGTGTGTAACTACTCCGCAATCGTGACATCGAAGAAAGCCCTCTTTCATGTAATGTCTCCCCTCGGGAATCTGGTGATCGCATATAGGACAAATCTTGTAGTAATCGTGCCAAAGACATTTAGGACATTTCATGATCAATGTCCCGTACACATTAGAGTTCTCGCAGTGTTCACAGGGACTTTTGGAGTGAAAGGTGGTGGACGTTTCAGGGTTACTACTTTCTATCTCCTGACTGTCGTTTTCAGTGTCGTTGTCGCTCTCTTGGGTGTCTTCCGCTTCAACGCCATTCTCAGAAGCCATTTCCTCCTCCTGATTTTCAATATCCGATGAACTCTCCTCATTATTACTCTCGTTATCGGAAGTACTTTCTACATTTTGGTAGCCTTTTTCCTTTTCTATTAAATCACTTAACAACTTTTTGTTCTTGATTAAACCTTTATCGATTCCTAACTCTGCAAGTCCATCTAGAAACGTATTCAGCGCACGAGGTTTGGTAACCTCATTGTTATAAGGGAGTAACACATACTCAACTAGCTCAGCGATGTTTGTGACGGGAATAGTGCGTTTATTTCGAAGTAATTGTCCGCTGGGGGTCCAGAAAAGAATATCTTTGGACGCAGTCATACTATGCAGCAAATCAGAAGCACGCTTTTCCGGCACTGCTCGGGAAAGATGACTCAAAACATCTTTTATTCTCGGTTCTTCTTTTATTCTTGGTTCTTCATCCTCGCTTTCATCACCAGAACTTTCGCTTTCTTCATGTTCACTCTCTTGTTCTTCTTCTTCAACCAAATCTATCTTTCTTTTCATTTTGATGAGTACTCGTGACAGACTTAGCTTCGAATGAGCAACCTAGCGATGTGTCACCTCTTTTATAGCATTAGAAATCCTAAGCTTGAAACGACAGGGGCTAATACATCTTCAATAAAACCACTACCCTCTTGAACAAGGACTCGCTTCTTTGTTTTGAAAGAGACATTTGTACTGGCCAGGTTAAGTAAAGCATTCTTATATGGCAGCAATACCCGCTTATTTTCTTCGGAGATGGGAATGTGTCCCATGAGTAAATTGTATAAGACTTGGACTAGTGCATGAAGTTGCTGTGGTGTAGCTGTCTTTAAAAGAAACTGGCGCTGATAAGCAGGGCAAGCAGCTAACAGCTGAAGAAAACCACGATTGTTGTTCACTACACGAGACATTGCTACAAAATGAACTAAGAATGGCAGTTGGTGGTCTTTTATAGAATCTGGTGGAAGGGAAAACAATAGAAATGTGGTGGTGGTGGTGGTGGTGGAGGGAAAACAATAGAAATGTGGTGGTGGTGGTGGTGGTGGTGGTGGAGGGAAAACAATAGAAATGTGGTGGTGGTGGTGGTGGTGGAGGGAAAAAAATAGAAATGTGGTGGTGGTGGTGGTGGTGGTGGTGGAGGGAAAACAATAGAAATGTGGTGGTGGTGGTGGTGGAGGGAAAACAATAGAAATGTGGTGGTGGTGGTGGGAAAACAATAGAAATGTGGTGGTGGGGGTGGTGGTGGTGGTGGTGGTGGAGGGAAAACAATAGAAATGTGGTGGTGGTGGTGGTGGGAAAACAATAGAAATGTGGTGGTGGTGGAGGGAAAACAATAGAAATGTGGTGGTGGTGGTGGTGGTGGTGGTGGTGGTGGAGGAAAGAAAACAATAGAAATATGGTAGCGGTGGTGGAGGAAAGAAAACAATAGAAATGT